TTTAACACCCGACCAAGGATGTATAGAAGAAAGCTCACCTACGATGCTTCTTGATGTGGAGACTAGCATGTGTCAATCTTCTAACAATGGCATTATTGTCCTATCTGTCATCATAGCAGTTCTGTCCCCACTTGTTGTCATTGAAACAGCTGTTATTATACATCTCTCAAGAAAATTGAACCAATGCACAAAGGCCACTAACAGCAGAGAAGTAACGACTACTTGTGTACCAGACCAAGTGCCCGACTACATTAACGTCCAACAATCGACTGATCACAGGGGTTTGGAAACATATGCAGACATGAATCCTAGAGAAGAAGCTAACTACAGCTCATTACAGGACCCTCAAGGCAAAGAGGACCCAGTTCCTGATTACATAAATGTCAAGCAATCTAATGCCATTCGTATGAATTAGTATTAACAAAGTTAGGGAGCTTAAACCTGCAATCATTTTTCCCATATACAGTTGAACTTGACTGTCAAATCCAAAATGCCATTGAAAAATTGTTCGACTTAGATAAAATTTGACTTACATATTGTAAATTAATGGAAAACACAACAATTTGGCATGTAAACTAAAGTCGATTTATTTGACTTAGGCAAAGTCGACTTCAGGCAAGTTTAATCTGTTATTTAAATCCACATCAATTTCAACTAGCAAAATACTTTATCTAATATATTAGGCCTACTAATTTGTTATCTCTATTTTTTGTCCTTAATACTGTATATTTGTGTTTCTAATAATAACTTCTTTTATACTAATTTTATTTATTTTTGAAAATTCTAATTGTAAACTTCAAATCAGGATTTTAAGATTTCAATTTTAGTTACAGTACTTCTCTTTTCGTTCTGGTACTGTAAATTTAATGTTTCAATGTCTTTTGCATCTGTATTTGATGATGGAATATAAGAGCAGTTTTCTGTTTTGGTTTATACCTACTCCTTGCTCCTTGCAAGACTTTACTTTGCCAAATAAATATTATTATTTTTAATGATGAAGCGCAGCTCATTTCAGGAGAACAACACCAATAACTGTAATGAACACAATGTTCCAACAAATCTACAGTATATGATTCAAATTTCCAAAGAAAACTATGAATTTTATAGTTAAATGACTAAAAGAACTCACATAAAAAAATATTAAATCAGTTCTGCTTTTAAAAAAATAATGATATATACAGCAGAATTGTCTTTATGACAGGCAAAGAGTACACAACTCCTTTACAATTTAAATTCAGTTTGGTTGGTATATATTCTGGCTTTTTGGTGTTGTGAGTTGTAGATAGCTAAAGATATGGGCCTATAATTAAAATCATGCTAATGTTATGAATGCTAATTTTTGTAGTTTATAGGTGTAAAAAGTATGCAATGCTAATGATTCTTGCTTGATATTTAAATACTGTACAAACAAAGGCTAGATTGGAATATTAGAAGATAGGATCAAAAGTCAATTTGTAAACTAACCAAGTACAGGATATCATACTTCTAGGCTGTAAGCTAACATAAATGTATCTTAAAAATATTATTTATAGATATCTGCATTAGTTTCTTGTTAAAAACAGATTACTTTAAGCTACTTTAACCAACTGTTTTCACAGTATCTATGCTTTATGTTCTTCCTTAATAATAATAATAAATTTATTCTTATAAGAAACCTCTAAGCGCTTTACAATGAAAGGAAAACCGGATCAAAATAAAAGAAAAATGATTACAACAGTGAGGGAAATCAGGTTAACATTATGAATTAATATTTATTTATTTATTTTAATTTAGTATTTAAATTTAGTATTTAAAGTAGTATTATGTTCCATGGACAAACACCTTTCTTTACAAACTAGATGTAAAACCTATAATCAATATTCTTTAACAGTTAATACCATATCTTTGAAACCACTTACCAAATTGTTTTTAGACTAAATGTCTTGTAAAATTAAAACTTGCTTAGATCTATCATCATATGAATTACATTACATTAACATTTCTATTTAAAGTCCCATTAACATGTTGGCTGCTAGACCCTATTTTAAGGTTCTTTCCTGTGTGCCAAAACAATTTTACATGTACAAACATACTTTTTTCAATAATTTATCTAGTCATATATTATCAAAATGTGTCTAATAAATTGGCGGGAAAATATTAGGGGGCGAGTATACTCGTCGACAGCACTGTGGTATAACGTTTTATTGACTATGCCAAGTGTGAGTTATCTTGTCTGCTTTTTGCACCGGGTTGGTATATGTTCAAAGGGTGTCCCTATTGTGCCACTCAAGTGTACTAACAGGCAACAAAACAAAACAAACATGTACATTTGTATGCTATCGTCTAGGTGTATCTCCCTGAATTACCAGCCGTTAAGTCTGCGGCTCTACAATGTATAACAAAGAAGTTATAAACGCTAGAATGCTACCCCGATTTTAACGAGTATACTCATCCCTGGCGCCCTCAGCAACACCCTGTGGGTGAGTATACTCGTCGCTGGCAGCCAACGTGTTAACATAGTTCAGACAGGACCCTGACTTTCATGATCACGTTCATTGCCACTGATGTCTTACTTTTTCTATTATTTGCTCTTTTGATCTACAATACACTTACAAAAAGGATTATATTTTTCCTTTTGAGTTGGGTGAATAACAGTACAATATTCATTAACAAATATGAAAATTGATACACATCACTGTATAGTTTTAAATAAATTTTAATTACTATTTACTTGTAGTTCTATTTATTTCATGAATATGTTTGTGTCTATTACATGTATTTTTAGTTCTGTATTTTCTCCTGTCCATGAATTTGAAGTTTTCTGAAGACAAAATAAAGGAAATGAAATACAATAAAATAAGCAATGTATATTAAGGATATGAATTGTGTGAAAAGGGAAAACTAAAGCAGCTTAAACTTGTAAAGAAAAATCTATTCAAGGAAGATCACTTGTACTAAAAGACTAAAGAATGCTGTGCCTAGAGCTACTATAATTATAGTTGATGAAGGAGTCATAGGTACAATGCAAATAAGACCAACAAAAGTAACCAACTATGAATGTAAATTTCAAAGAAGCAGGAAATATAACATTAAACATTATAATTATAAAATGCTAACAGGAAATATAGCTTTAAAACTAGTACCTAAACACTCTTGGCCCAATAACTGAGTGTTAATAGTTCGGAAAACTGATTTCAACACAAAAAAAAACTGATAGAATGTATGCATTACGGAATATTGTACGCATTACAATATATAAATATTATTGTTATCTTTACATCATTAATTATTAATTATAATGGTTCATTCCTGGATTGAATAGAGTAGAATGGTGTAGAGGCAGGTGATGCCAGTTAACAATAGTTGTGTTCTTCCAAATTTTTGTTTAAATCCAGGCATTGACACAGTAATATATATTGAGACATGTAATTTATGTATTACAAATAATCAATTATTGTTTGCGATGCGATACAATAATTGTATTTGACTGTAATTCTGCTGTTTTACTGAGGATTTTTTATGGTGTCATTGCATGCACACCAACATGATTGTGATGATCTTTGAATCTCTTCTTAAATTGACTAAGGAACGGGGAAAGTTTGTGGTTGTCATCTTCTTTGTTTGTTGTCCAACTAAACTACCACATGATTATTAAAACTTGTTCCTATTTGAGCACATTATTATTATTTATCTACGTGTGGTTTACGTCTTTCAAAAGACTAATAAGTCCGTCACTGCAAGGTTTACCTATATTGTACAGCTATATAAAGATTTATATTAAAATAAAAAACATAAATTTAAATATGGACGTAGTAATCACTTTATTAAGAAGACTAACAATTTTCAATCTTATAATTTTATATAGCTCGAGTTATGTATTGACCTAGTCTACAACGGCTAAATCTACAGGTACGCTTTCACCATTAAAGGCTTCTTCTATAGAGAAGGAGTGAAGTTAAATAGCTCAGTGGATGCTTGCCTTCTCATCCCAGGGTTCTTGGATCAATTCCTGTCACAGCAGGACTTTTTCTCAAGACCTAAAACAACTCCACTCCCTAAGCCTCATAAAGCATCATTGTCATTCTCTGTAAGTGGCGAGTGTACTTGCTGTTGGATCCGAAAGAAATAAAAAAAAAAACAAACAAATGGAATGATCTGTACAAGCACAAGCTCATGTAGACCAAACCTAGCAACGTTTTGATTTCAATCATGCAGAAAATTTACTCATACTGCAATCAATATGAACCAACACCTCATTGTAGGACCCTGACATCAGTAACCATATTGAATACAATGTTACAACAAATCTGCAGACTGTCTAATAAACTTACATTTCTGGTTCTGGTTTAATTTAGCGACAGACTGGCTGAAATCAACATGTATGCGTCTATCATCAATTAAAACATTGTCCATCTTGAAATATGCTTGTTCACAATCTTCTACCTGAATCATTTTAACAAAGGAAGCATTGTTATTATTTATTTATTTTAACTGGTATTGGTACTGGTCTGGTATGGTATTTATAATGCACCTCTTCCTTGCAGTTATAAAGCGCAGTTCTTTTCCCTGGTTATTGGGTCCACATGCGAAGTGTTGCTGCTGGTAATCAGCACAGGAGCAGGCAACCCCACCAGGTACCCATTTATACTCTGGGTGGGGAAAAGCCTCTATTTCTAAGTAAATACTGTAGTGGGTGGAGGTTCATACTGTAACATCAATCTGTATCATGGAAGGTATTTAACTGGCATTAAATCACCTAATCTACTGTATAAACCAAGCTTGTTTTTTTATTTATTTCGTTTTTTGAAATGTATGTTCTGTACTAGCTCAAAATGAAGCCTATGTTATCTTGAAAGGAAGCCATGGGCTTCTTTTCGAGGCTAATTTTCTAAACTAAAGAGGGGGCTTCAATTGGAGATGGGCTTCATCTCGAGATTAAGCCCACTAGACTTCAATTCAAGGTTTTTACGGTATTTGTTTACATATATTTCCATCAAGTACCAGTAAGTGAATTAAATTCCTTATCCCTTTCCACTAGCTGGGAACCAGAAAATACAGAATGTAGTAAGTGATTCATATTCTCTGTTTCGCATGTGTATTATTGCATATATGGAGGCCTCACTCACCCTTTCGAATTCTATGAATGCGTACTGTAATGATTCCTCTGTCTTCATATCCTTAATCACTTCACAACTGCAATGCACAATGGCTATTAGTTATGTACTTATAAATTAAAAGTATGGTAATAGAAAACTATATGATGCCATATCCATGGGTGCTAAATAATTCTGGTGCTTTCAATGAAAAAAAAAAATTCTTAGATGTGAATTTTTACGATCTTTTGGAAATAACTGTTTTTTTCCGCCATTTTGAATAAATTAATTAGTAATATTAATTTATTTTTTTTCCATTTTAGAGGAACTCATACACTTCACAAAAATATATAGGTTTGCTATATTTAGTTCAGTGGTTTAGCCACAATAATTAATTTCCTAAAAAGTATCAAATTACATAAAAAAAATTAAGGCATGTAAAGGTTATAAAATATTCCAAATAATCAATATAGAGTTGCTGCATAGACAGATTTGTATATATAAAATAAGAAGTCAAACAAAGTTCTGTATCTGTCTCAAAAATAAAATATTTATTGTACTAGTACTTTCGACCATAGGTCATCATCAGGTATATATATATATATATATATAAATAATACAAAATAATAAGAATAGTTATAATAATAGTAATAGTAAAACTAAATTAAATTAAACACAAGTAATCTTTACACTTGGTAATTTACCTATTAATTTGTCCAAATCTAGAGAATATAATCTGCAAATCATCAGATGTTGTGACAGGGTTCAGTTTGCACACAAACAGCACATTCTCTGGAGGCTTTATATCAGCATCAGGAATATCCCCTACCTGGTGTAAAATAAAATATTAAATAATTATAATAATCATTTTTAATGTAACACTGCAGTGGTAGTAGTGGTCTAATATTGTGGTCTAGTCAGCCAAGCTAAGCCTCTGTCCAGAATATCAAATTTTCTTTCATAAAAAATTGTTGTATGCCCATATATAGTTATGGTGTGCCTATATATGGCCATGATGTGTCTATATATGGTCATGATGTGATGTCATCATGAACATATTCAGGCATGTCACATGTTTTTTTTTGCACTGCATTTCTATATATGATGGGTGATACCAAAATTTGTGCTTCATTTTCATGCATTGAGGGCGCTAGCAACATTGTATTTTTGCAATTTAATAGGAAAATTTAAGGGAACAGTATTCATACCATCTCTAGAATTTGAGCATTGGCTTTAGCTTCCTTGGTCTCTCGTTCTTCCATCAATTGTTCCTCTGTTTTTTCTTTATCTTTATTAATATCTTCATCAGCTCCAATACGACCACTCTGAGAAGATGGAAAGGAAGACGTTAATTTGATAGTTTTGATAGTAAGTTCATTAACAAAATATAAAATTACATAATATCAACCAATAAATTTGGCATTTACAGTATGTGAGGTATTATGGTAAAGAGTCATGTTGTATGCCGGTGAAATTTGATTATATTCATAAAAATACGTACTGTATGATGTCATACTTTGACAAAAATTAGGTTTTAATGTTTCTGATATGTTTACTACATGAATTTAATAACAACAAAGATTCTGAGTTGATTTACAAACATTAAAAGTCTTTAAAGCACATTTTGAATATTGGAAATATTTCTGGCCAGGCCAACATTTTCAGCACAGGCCAAATACATTTACAATTGAATTATAAAAATATAACAGCTACTCATTTATACTCTGAGGGTCAATTCCTGTTTGTGTTACCCAGTAACAACAGGGGCTGCGTCCAGTACATCAGGGTAACCCCCTACATGTTGACTGGCACCTACTTCTAATTGGTCTTTTGTTGGCTCAGGTGACCTGTCTGGAACAACCAATCCATCCGGATCATCGAATGGGTCATCAAGAATCACAGTGTGGTTGATTCTGAAAATATAAATAATCATAGGATTTAGGATTCAGATACAATGACCTGGATTGAGTCGGTGATCATTTGAAACAAAAGCATACTGGTTACACTATGACGATAATGATCAACAATAAAAGCTAAAAAAGCCATTGTTCATATAGAAAAAAAAAGAAATAAGATGAGTCTGTATACAATAAAAAAATAATTTCACAAATCAAATCATATGACCTCATCTTCATGGAAAACCCTATAAAATCGTTTTTAATACTACTGTACGATTTTATCATTTTTATGACGTCATTTGATTTGTGAAAATATTTTGTTATTGTGTACATGATAAATCAGTTATTGAATCATGCTAGTGTGTGAAACCATCTTGTATTTCTTTTACTTTCTATAGACTGGGGACTTGTATAGTGCAAAATACATGGTCTATGTGTGCTTACACAAAATCTAGACCACTAAAAGTCAGTGATAACTGAAACAAAAACATACTTTTATCTACTATCGAACCACTAATGACATGATAAAAAACACAGAATCATCAGTTTGTGAAATGAATTTATTGTTACATGCACTCCACTGAACAATTTTGGCAACTTGTGCGTTCCATAGGAGCATGCTACATCTGGGAGACCTTAGTATGTAAATGAGTATAAAACATTTTGAATAAAGAATTTAGCCAAATATAATACCATCCATGATTGCCCAGCTCCATTCATTTAACTTGTAGGGTTCCATTTTACTTACCTGATGTCTTGGTATGGTCGATGATCCTTGTCCGTAAACGATTCACTGATTTTCGTGAGAACATCAAATCCTTCAGAAACCTCTCCGAACACAGTGTGCACCCCGTCCAGGCTGTCAACATTCTCAGCAAGTGTGAAGAAGAACTAGTTAGAAAAATACTTAATTAAACATTTGGTCGAAAAACAAATATAATAAGAGTTGACATGGAAACGCTTGTGAACAGCGGTGGCACTGGAATGTTGCACACAGGTGGTCCAACAACTCCGACAGGGGATACTCAACCGGGGCGCCACCTAGAGCCTCGGTCAGGGTTCCAGAAATATAATACCTGGTGAGGTTTATGGGGAGAAATTGTATAATTTAGGACCATGATTGCCCCAAAATTGTGTGTTTAGACCACAAAAAAGGGCTTGTGATAGTAACCTTGTTTGGCTCAGAAATTTAAGATTTGTAGGTGGGAAGTTTTCCGACAAAAAATATTTACCCCCTCTGACCCCAGCTGAATGATTTATTTATTCAACCATATTTCAAGATGGTGACCCATCCAGCGAGCTGATTTTACGGGGCCCTCAACAATACAAACGAGAAGCATACAAGATATATAACATGAAAAACATACAAAACTAGTTAAAAAATTGTGAAGGAACACACCTGAGATCCATGCATTTTCGCACCATTGTTTACCATAGCAACAGCACCCAATTTCTTGTGTTTGATTCGGGGATTTTCTTCCATTTCAAAATACCGAGCCTGATCACCATATAGCTGCCTATCATGAACATTTGAGAAAAAAATCTATATGTATATCATTATCATAAATCATGGAGCTCCCTAACTTATACATAATAGTGAATAAGGGATTTTCCTAACAGGGTTATCAGTCTAAAAGATTGCAGAATGCAGTTAAGAATTTTTACTATGTAAAAAGCTAATTCAAGGTAAATTTTACTCTTAAAAATAAATAGGATTTGCCTAATAATCAATACAATAAAGGAATGTTTTCCCAGAATATACAATGATGATGTAAAAGCTACCAATATATGCAACATTATTAAAACCCCACATTTTTTATAACACTGACAAAAACAGAATTTTCTGTTAATATGTGCTAAGAGGCACCATAATTTCATACTTCACAATTTCAAGAATTTATGAAAAAATTACCAATTTTGGATCTACTGTACTGTACATAACTTTGAAGTGGGTCATCTTCGAAAGTATCACAAGAAGTATAATTGTATCTCTTACTTGAATATTGAATCACCTCCATTTCCAGAACCTGTCGGGTCTCCAGTCTGAGCAATGAAATTACGCTGAAAAATTTAAAACAGAAAGGTAAATAGTAAATTTCCTGGCAATTTCAATAATTGGGGGTACTGGGTTGGAACACGATTATCTGCTCCACAATGAGACTTCCATTCATAGAAGACTTTGTGAAGAAAGCATATCTATTGGTGGCTTTAGAGTGGCTGAGACCAGCTAACTTTGGCTTTGATTTAAATGAAGATTGAAATGTAGAATACTGTAAGTACACAGTATTTACCTTATTCAAGATTCATATTTAGTATTGGCTAGTTATTAAATCAAATGATTATTTATTGTTGTGTTAAAATATTTTAATATAAATTCATATAAACATTTATGGAAATATAAATAAGTTATTTATTAATTAAATGTATAAAAAGTATAAAACAAAAAATAAAAAAATAAAAGAAGGAAATATAGAAAGACACTCGGAGCAGCTTTAAATTAGGTAACGAAAATTATATACTGTATAATGAAAATAGCTCATTATCATATTATGTTTGTGCAATAAATTTCAGGCACTAATCATATTATTAGGCCAAGCACTTACTCCATCATACGACGGTTGTATGACCATTGTACGACAAATCCAACTCCAAAGCCGTCTGCTGATTGAACGGATCGTCATTAAAAATGATCAATTGTGTGCGTGCCGTGCCGTGTTATCCATGGAATCGCGTTGGCCAACAACCGTCGGCCGCATTAAGAAGTGCCCCGTTTTAGAGGTCAACGACAGGTGCCAAGTCTATCATGTTTCATAATTTGATATCATACGTATTATAGAATAGATTTTAAAATTCCAAATGTCTAAACTAAACAATAAAATTTACAAAAATATGTTGACCACATACCTGTACAGAATGAAATAAACAAAAGTTATAGTACTTCACTTTGCAGAGTTTCAGAAAGTTCAAACAACCTTTGAAAAATAAAATCAATTCAATGTGAACTAGATTTGAACTCGTCACTGAGGACGAGTTAGGTGATCCGCCGCACTTTGACCCTCATTAAGATCACGCGGTGCTGATAGAAAAGTGTCATAATATGCTAAAATATGCTGTAATTAGTTTTTTTTTAAAAGAATAATTTTGAGCACTTTAAAAGATTTCCGCATGTGTACACGTACGTCTTGACGCCCGTGAGTACGGTAATAGCATAAAGTGTATTTAAAACCGCCTGTTAGTCGGTAATGCCACACGAACTTTCCCTTCATATAACCTATATATATTTGTCTGATAGCGTCGAAAAACAGTCTGCCGCCCTCACTCTGTTCTATTTGTGTACATCTTTTAAGAATGAGAGATAAAAGGGTTCCAAAATTCATTCTTTTTGAACATGATGACGTGATCAAAATGAAAAATAAGGAGACACGTCTTAAAGAGAATTGATTTAGCTATAACATACTCACAGGTGGGAGAC